TGGTGAGCACATTTTAAGAGTTGGTACCTGTTCCAAGCACTAACGGCTGCTACGGGAAACAGTCAGAAAAGTGAGGCTGAAGGCTAAGATGTTCAAATCTCCCTTAATTGTTAGAGCGTGAGCTTCCAAATCCCTCGAGAAGCGCGGAAAATGTTGGCCTCAAAATTCGTGGTGTGCTCAGAGAAGCCAGGAAGCCAGGGAGTTTTGGGGACATCTTGACTGCAGTCTGCCTGCCTGGCTCCACCGGACTTGGAATCAATCCGATTCATTGCAGCAGCTCTGAATTCAGAGCAGAGGGAGCAGACAAGGCTCATTGCCTATACCAGCCAGAAAGACTGCAACAACAGTTGCGGTTTTCATTTTTCCTTTAAAATAAGGTTACTTGAGTAGACAGCCAGGAATAGACCCCCTGTCTCCTCATCCCTGAACTGAGCCCCACTGATAATTATGCACAAACTGTCAGGGCTGCTTTGGAGAAACAGTGCTAGAACTAAAGCAGCCTGACATGGTTTTGTGCAAGGCTTTGCCTGGAAAATTGGAGTCTTCAGTGACCACCAATGTGCAGAAGGGAGAGCTGGGACCATTCATACCCTGCACAGTGCAGTAAGAACTTTTTCTCTTCAGCCGCTCAAGTTCCTGATGGTTGGGAAGCCTGGCCAAGAGGTAGGCAATAGATTCATGTTACTGCTGAAGAAAAGCATATTCCCGTGCAAAGCAAATCTCTGGATACATTGGGGCACCTGTTTGCACTGTGGAATGCACAAGGCTCACATCCCTCCTTGCTTCATGCTCTGCTCCAGTATTTATCCTCCCAGCAAGCCATCACTGCCTCATCCTCCAGGACTGTGCTTCAACTTAGATATCAGCAATTTCCCCTGCCACAGCCAATCAGTGAAATTACCTGATTTAAGGCCAGTGGAGTTAAAAATCTTACACTCTGGGAAACTCAAAAGCTTTGTTGCTTTTGCACCTCTCCAGGCTGCAGATGGACCCAGCATCTCCTTCCGCTTTGCACCAGGCTGGAGGAGTGACCACTGGCAATGGCACTGCTTTCCAAGCAAGACCCTGAGCCTCCTCCACCAGCATCCAGCTTCAGCCACCTCCTCCTGCCCTGCACTGCTGGGCTCTGTTTGTCCAAAGTAAATGCAGGCAGATTTCCCTGTTGACATTGGGGATTTTCTTGCTCAGGTGGATCACCATTTTTATTGTATTTATTTTTCTGCTAAATCTGTGCATAGGTCTGTCCTATGCAGATAAAACTTCAAGGCAGTCATGTCACAGATAAATCCCTACCTTGCTTCCCAACCACGGGACAAGGTTTCTTGGATGTTCGTCTCTCCGTTCCTGGGAAGCCTGGTGAGAGGGTTGGATGCTCTCCTGCAGTGACAATGTTGCAATTTCTTTTTAAAAGCCTGTAATCATCTCAATTCTGTGAGCTACTCAAGCATTTACGTTGTTTCTCAGCATCTCGAGTGCCGGCTGGAAGCAGCTCCAGGTTTTGGGTGAGTCCAGCAGGATCACTGTGGGGGGCTGTGCTGACAGGCAACCCCACACTGAGCAGCAGAGGAGGGCTGTGCTCCCGCTCTCAGGTGAGTGGGTTCCTGGGCATCGGGAAACAACAAAAAAAGGGGGGGAAAAGCCCCAACAAATCAATTCTGTTCACATGAGATTTTAGCTGAACTTCAAGTAATAAACAGAGAAGGATAAAGAAATGCTGTGGAAACAAAAGCCATGTTGTGACACAGCCACGGCTGAGGTTCATTCATTTTTTAAAGATTGTTTTTCCTTTTCTCCTCCTGGTTAAAAATGAGATTTGCAGAGAAGAGAAAACAGCAGCAGCATACAAACATCTATCAAAAAACCCACCCAAAGTGGAGGAGCTGACTTTCCCTGAGGGTGCAGCCATCTCACACAGAATGCAGCGCAGACACAGAGACCTGGACTGGAGCTCCACGCTCCATCCCCCATAACAGCAAAACGTGTCTGCAGCATCTGGTATTTTGATCCCCATTTCCCCCTTGCAGATATGCCAAGCCTCTGGCAGTGTTTTCTCCCCCTAACCCATGTTGTTAGGCTGGAACAGCAGCTGAGCTTATGGAAAACCAGCTCTACTTTCTCTCATGACCACTTAGCAGGAGAGAGGGGATCCCATAACCATTCAGCTCACTTGCAGGTATGCAAGGGACTGCCTGCTTTCCATTAGCCACCCCTGCAGCAGTCCCAAGGTCAGAATCCAGCCCTTCACATGAGTCAGCCTTTGCCCTGAGGAGCTGCAGTTGGAGGAGACCAGAAGGCAGGAGAGCACTGATTCCCTAAGTCTGTGCCATCTCGTCTCCATGCTGTCATGCCATCTGTGGGCTTTATCCCATGAACTCCTGTCACATCCACTCCCATTAGCATTTTTCAATGCTCTCCTGCCCTTTCCCAGCATCTGCTGACCAAGTCCCTCTGGTCACCCCTGCTCCTCATCCTTCATCAAGGCTTTTAATTTTCATGATGCCGTTACCCACTTTTGCTGCACTCTGCCTTGTAGCGTCTCAACACACGCTGTAAACCAGGCAGCCCAGCTCACTAGGAAAGAGAGCTTCCAAGTGGGGATTGAGCTACTATTAATTTATCCTATATTTGTTTTGAAGAGATGCCTGGGGAAGGTACACCATTTCCCTTTCCAGTTAGAGGCTTAAGAGCCACAGGCTTTCTTCTTTCTCAGAAATGTAAATCCATGTTTATTTTTCATGTACCCAATTAATCCCCAAGGCATTGCATCCAACAGGCCAAAATCAGAGCTCTGCCTCCACCAAAACACTTCAGGAGAAAGAGGAGAGGGAAACATGTTCTACCTTTACTAGAAGAAATATCTATTTATTTGGGACTGAGGCAGCTGCATGGAGTATAAATGATTTTAATTGGTAAGCCCAACAGGATTCGCTCCCTCTTAAAGCAGAAAGGAAAGACCTGGAACAGCCATTTCCAGAGTGATCACTGAGGAGCAGCCAGATTCGGTTCCTAAGAGGCTCTTCACAGGGTTTGATTGTTTGGGACGATCTCACATATACAAAATACTGATCTACCTGCAGCACCAGCCATAATCTCTTCCCAGTTAAAACTGGTGCAACTCTGCGGAAGTCAATTTATGAGGCAAACATTTAATTTAGCAAGCAGGCTCACAATCCTAAATTTAAACATATGTCAAGCCAGCTAGTGGCTTTGTTTTAATTAACTCTCAAACTTTGTGGCTGTCATTTCTTTATATAAATGAGGATGTTCTGCCAAGGGCAGCCTCTAAGCCTGTGTGCATCCCTACGAAACCGCCTGCTATTTCACAACCACTTTTCAAAGAGCTCTTGCAGAGGCAAGGGGATGTGGATGTTATTATAAGGGTCCATATGGCAGTACACTGACACTGCAGTATTAAATCAGAGGTATTGTAGCTTTCCAGCCTGGATTCTCACAGTATCAGGTAACGTATATGTAGCTTTATTGTTGTACAATTTTAGTGGCTATGCATTATTCAAGAGCAGCCAAAGTCTCTGCACTGCCGGAGGTGATTCAGTGATGATAAAGGGAATATGCTTTGCTCTAAGGGCAGGAGCAAAGGGATTTCATGGATTGGTATCTTCTCCACCCGTGGAGAAACAATGGACGCATTAACATTTCTAGTAAAGAAATCAGCTGGCGACAAATTCTCATCGATAATTAAAATGAAAGTACAAGCTGCCTTAACATGTAGTTAGACTTAGGAACTGTAACCTGTTCTCTAAATTAAATGCTTTCCTTTATAATTTGGCTCTCGAAGCAGGCACTGAAATCTGCTGGAAGATGCCATCTAGTGGGTTAAGGAAGTTTATTTAAGTTTAAAATCCACTTGCTGGTGTGGGGTGAGGGTGGCAAGAGCTGCAAATGCTGGGGTGCGTAATGGTTTACGTAGACTTTTTGTTGTTGCTCTAGGATGTAAGATACTTCCCTGCGGGGGTTTGCATTGGAAGAGAACTAATATTTATTTTACCAGTGCCCAGTAGGGCACCGGATTGTCACAGCTTTGCTATTGACACAGCCGAGCCGCGGCTGTTCTGCGGGCAGAGCATCTTCCTGAGCACCGGGGCTGCTGCTCTTCATTAAGAACGAATCCACTCCCCGTTTTTGGGAAAGCTGTGCTGTCATTCCTTTCTTTCTTTTTTTTTTTTTTTTTTAAGGCAAAAAATAACCCCCAAAAAACAACAAACCCCCAGAAAACCAAAAACACCCCCCAGTAAAACACTACCCTGTGCCTATAAATTATCTAGTTTATGGTATAGTAGAAACGACTTAATTGGTATCTGAATTAAGAGCATCCCTTTTTAATGAGATGGGGATTGATTTGGAGCGATCCCGCCTGCCGGTATTGCCGGAGATGGGCCAATGGCATCTCCATCCATGGAGTTCTGAGGGCAGCAGCCTTGTCCCCCAGTTGCTGTGTGACCGTGGGGCGACCTGCAGCCCTTTTGGGAGCACCTGGACCCCCTTGGGGAGCGCTCACAGCCTTTGGAGAGCACCTCGACCCCTTTGGGGAGCACCTGTGCCTCTCTGGGGGGCACTCACAGCCCTTTAGAAAACACAGGCACCCCTCTGGCGAGCGTCCTTCGGGCTTCTCTACCCGCCCGCAAGCCCCGGGGCCCCATTTAACCCCTTTTTAAGGGCTTTTAAGCCAATTTCCCACCGCGACTCCCCCGACGGCGTCTTCGGACCGCACTACAGCGGCGCCCACCCAGGAACCCGCCGAGCCGCGGACACCCTCGGAGCGACTTCCTCAGGGAGCCATTAAGGGAGAGTCATTAGCAGGGGGTCATTAGCGGGGGGTCATTAGTAGAAGGTCATTAGCGGGGGACGGGGGCGGGGCCTCTCCGGTGGTGGGCGGGGCCTGCAGGGGGCGGTGCCCACGAGGCCCCGCCCCCCGCGCGCGGAGCGGAAGTGCCGGAGTTGCCGCCCGGCGCCGCCGCCGAGCGCGGGCGAAAGTTGCGCTCCGGGAGCGCGGCGGGGGCGGCGGCACCGCTCCCTCCTGCCCATCCCCGTCCCGCTCCTCGCCCCGCTCCCGGCGGCCGCCCCGATGCGGCGGAAGCAGAAGCGGCTGCTGCAGGCGGTGGGGCTGGCGCTGGCCGCCCTGGTGTTCTTGCCCAACGTGGGGCTGTGGTCCCTGTACCGCGAGCGGCAGCTGGAGGGCGGCGCGGCCGGCGGGGACGGGGCGGCCGCCGCGGGGGCAGCGGCGGGCGAGGCGCCGGTGAGTGGCGGCGATGGGGCGGTTGGAGCGGCCCCGGCTGTGCGGGGGGGGAGCCGCTGGGTGCGGGTCCGGGGGGGCTCCATCGCTCGGGCGGTGCGCGGGGCTGGGCGCGTCCCTCCCGGTCATCTCGGCAGGGATGGGGGGCGAGGAGCGACGGCCGCCCCCAAAGAGGAGGGGGCGAGGGAGGGGAGCGGTGATGGGTTGCTGTGTTCTCAAGGAAGGAGCTGTTTTGTGTATCCTGAGCTGTTTTCTCCATCCTGTGCTTGGGTTGGACGGGGAGCGCAAGTACTTTCTTGCGGGGACGGGAGGCTCTGCTTGCCTGCTTGCCTTTTCTTTTTTTTTTTTTTTTTGGCTGAGCTCGGTAAGGGACCTTGGTAATGCAAGGTCTTTGCTTCTTGCGCCAAGGAGTAAGGAAGGGGAGTTTCTCCCATCCTTGCATAGGAAAGGACAGCAATTCCACCTTCCAAGGGTGTGCCTCGCTGCCACGTCTCTTCACCTGCCTTGGAAAGGTGTGGAGAGCAAACATCACCTGTTACCTGTTACAGCAGAGCTTAGGGCGAGGGCTAGCAGAAAGTACCAGGTGGAGCTTGAAGATTATGTCCGTAGAGTGATTCTCCTTTGGGAAAAGAGAAGCGGATAACTCTTCCTTAGAGGCAGAGGATGCCTGCTGGATACGTGGCCTGAGGATGTTGTAACATATGACTGCATTCTTTTCTTGTCACACTGGTGTAGTAGTAAATTTCACAGCCAAACCTTTCTGCACAGTGTGTGAGTCAGGAAGGCTGGATCACCCAAATTAGACATTTGGAAGCTCCATTTAGCTGCACTTACTTTTGGCTCTGTAATTGCTTTGTCCCCTTCTGGGTTTGGCTTTGTATCATTAAGAATGATTGGGACTTGAAAGCTTGAATTGTCAGTGTGTAACTATCAGTTCAGCTGTCACTCTCCAAGGCTTTGCTTGTTCAAAACCACTTAAAACTCTTAGTTGTCTAAATCTCTCCCTCCTTGGAGACTTGCTGCTATAACTGCACCGTAAAGGTGGAGAAACCTGCTGTGACAATTTCTGCTATGGGGGAGAGAACGCTCTCTAAGAGCTGTAGTCAAAATGGGACTGAGCTTTTTTTTCCCCACGAGGAATGCTTTTTCAAATTCAAGCATTTAGTGCAAGTCTGGATGTAACCATGCTTATAGCTTTGTAATGTCCCATACTGGTAGGGAAAGGGTTCAGCTGTTGCCTGCCATAAAACATAAACCTGTAGCGAATCCTCAGACCTGCACAGAAGTCCCTTTGACATACACAGTGGTCATTTAATGCCTGGTGTTCCTAATGTTACTGCTTTATGCTTGTATTTCTATGAGATGCAGGGAATCTATTTTGCCTGACTGGTAAAAATCAAGCCCTGTGGTCCTGATACATGGCTTCACGTGGTGTGATGTTCTGGCGAAATGAAAGACCTTTGTAAAATCATGTGTCCTCCAGAGGTAATGAGGAGAAAGTTGGTGATTATTCTTAGGAGGCTTCAAAGTGACAAGCTGACTTTTAATATTTTTGGTCTTCCAAAATTGTCCTTGTGCTGTGGGCTCTGGGTAGCTGTAAGCCAGGCAGTGCCTCCCTGCTGATTCCCGTGTCTGTGCAGTGCTCTCGGTATTTAGACATCCTGTGCTGCCCATGTTGCACACAATGTCGACTCCATTTTTCTATGTCTCTTTAAAGTGTGGCAGCTGTCAGTGAATTGAGATCTGCTTTTGTTTTGATGGTGTGTTGAGCTGGGCGGGAAATGCCTGTACAGCAGGAAAATTTGCAATAAAACCTCTCTGCACTTGTGTAAATCAGAGTTGCTGGGTTTTAGGCTGAAGGCTTCATCTTCCAGTCTAATTAACGTGGAGTTATGAGCTCCAGGGGGTCTGCGAGTGAAGATATACTTGTTTCATGTGCCTGTTTTTTTGAAGGATTTGGCCCTGAAATGATAGCTTTTGTTACATTGAGCAAGGGAAAACATACCCTAAAGGACAATGGGCTGTCTTGGTAAAAATAATTTCAAATGAAGCAGAATAAAAACAAACTAAATGTGATTTTGTTTTTTTTTGTTTAGTTGTGTGGGTTTGTTTTACTGTAGTCATAGATGTATCTGCCAGCTGACTGCAGAGAGTTTTTTGGGCATCCTCACATTCAATGATTCCAGCCTCTCTTTCTTGGTCCTGACAAGCATTCATGGGTTTTGTACTCACTAATCAACTTCCAGCTTGTAAATGAATATGCTGTTTGTCTGCCTGTTCCTGTAGCCGTTCAGAAGAACTGGCTTCTTAATAAAAAAACTCCAGATCAGAGGAGGCAATAATAATAAAAAATTATATTCATAGCAGTCAGAAAAGATTTTCTTCTGTTTCTGGCTTTAATTTGCCTTTTTGTGAAGCCTAATCTTTGAATTGAGGACATTTCCTATGTACTGCAGAACTGAGCTTCTCAATGAAATCTCTGTCCAGGCTCATTCTTTCTCTTTAAATGGTGTCTGCTGTTTCAGTCAGTAGTTTTATCTTTCAGAGTAACAGCAAAGGGGGGAAAAGGTTTTAAGAAACAGCTGAATTAAAGCTATAAAGCAATTCCTAGAAGAGTGAGTTGTGATGCTAAAATTCTGAAGTTTGAAACCAGCTAGGAGTTCTTGTTGTCTATCTGTGCTGCATCCTACCTTCAGAATAGTAATATATCACTATAGGTGATTTTGCTTTATTTAATATTTCTAGTGCCTATAACAAACGTGTCAGAAAATTAAGCTATCAGAAACCATGTAAATATATTCTAGGGAAGATTATTCTAAATGGTTTCTGTGGAAGTGCCTAGACAGCTAATTGCTTCTGTATTTACGTGTTCAGAGGAAACATTATGGTGGTTGAAAATAGTGTATTGCTTTAATAAGGAGGGTGAGGCCTGTGCTCTTTCCTTCTGCCTCCGGGTTTGTTCTTTTGCAGCTCTGTGGGGCCCTTTTTGCTCTGCAGAGAAGGGATGGCCTTAAGGCATGAAGGTCTTGGCCTCAAGGTCATCCTGCAGATCTCTTTAGAAAAGCTAATGCACTGAGTGAATCCTCAGTACAGCTGTGGGCTCAGAAGTGGCCTCTGTCACTATGTACAGTCACTCAGCAAATGAGATGATCTGGGAAGTCCTTTTTTCATGGCGCATGTAACAGGTTTGGCTTTAAATGTGGATGGTGGTAACATGGTACTGAAGTGTTTTGCTGACAGCTTAGAAGCTCCTTAGACTTCACGACTGCACTGTTTGCTCACCACTATGAGTGTATCGGTGTGCTCATGGAATGCAGATTGACTTTTTTGTCGTTTCATCTTTTTCTTTTTTTAACAAGTATTCAATAAGTAAAAACATATGATCTGTAGGTGTGGGGGTAGGAAGAAGCAGCAAAAGAGATGCAGCTATTCCTTTTGTCTCTTGGATCTCTGCTGTCTGCCTCAGAGACTGCTGAGCATCCTCAGCCAAAATGTTTAATTGATGTGTGTGGAGTGTTGCAGTAGAGAAACAACAGACGAGTTGGGTTGTGGGCTGGTGGTTGATGTTCGGGCTAATGCAAGTATTTACATGACTTCTGATGCTCTGCAGAGATGCTGCTCTGCACCTCTGTGGTCAGGCTGGAGATCCTCACTCTATGTGATACCTGCTGTTCTGGGAATGTGGCATTTGAACTCGGAGAGATACTAAGCTTGAACATTTTTCTTTGAATTGCTGGCTGAAAGCACTGTAGCAAATTAGCTGCCTTTCGTGGCAGTGCGTTTTTATCTGATATGATGAATGCTTTATGGAGTCGCCCTGTAGCTTGTTGTAGCAGTAATTTGTGCTCTATAAATTAACTCAGGAGCATGATGGAAGTGTATAAATCACATCGGTGATTGTGTGGTGCCCTCTGCTGCCAGCAGGCTGGAGTGAAGTGGGGTGCTCCTGCCTGCTGCTTCCTTGGGAATGAGAAACCAACTGCAAACCTGTGAAAAAGGGTTTGTGAGAATGCTCCTTTTGGAGAGTTTGGGGTCATAAACTTTGGCTTTAGTGCAATTGAGCTTAAAGTTTCCAGCCACTATTGATGAAAATGTAGTCCTAGTGATGAGCTGAGTGGGGAGTGATGCTGCTGCTCGTGGCCTCCTCAGCAGAGGAAGATGATGGGCTTTGCTGTTCTGACCCCGGGGGCAGCTGTGAAGTTGTCAGGGTTTGTCAGCGTCATGTTGTTGTTGGCCAAAGCTGATAAGGAAGAGGATGTCTGTTAAACAACAGATTCTGTGCTGCCAAGGCTGTGGAGGGAGGAGAAGGAAAAAGTGAGAGGAAAACCTTTCTGCTCTCTGCCAGCCAGAGGTAAATAGAACAACCAGGTCCCTGTATGTCATAGGCAGATTCCTTTGTCAATTAGACTGGTCATGTCCTAGACCTTCCTGCTGCTCCTGTCTGGGGCTTGGCTCCTCACAGACCTCTTGGAGATTGCCATGTTGGCAGTTGTGTTTGCCAGTCACTCATCAGCTCATGTAAAGGAAAACTTTGAAAAGCTTATTTTCTAAGTATGGTGTAAAACAATCTGCATCTAAGGACTGAAGTGCAAGTGCTAGAGCTGAACAAGCCTGTTAATTTAAGAGTGACTGATTCCCAGCGTGGGCTAGTCTGCAGTTGATCACTTCAGTGCACTTGTGAAACAAGCAGGGTGTCCTGAACTGGAGAAGTATGGCCTGTACTCTTGATTGGCAAAGTGAGCTGAAGTGAATGTGAAGTGTCTAAACCATCTCAAAGCTGTAAAGTGCAAAGTAAAATTTGGAAAAAGTGTTTATTAAGAAACTGGAGCTTTCAGTGGCCTTCACTCAAGGTCTCAGTGTGGTGATCTTCTGTAATGGCAACACAGACCTGAATGAACAAATGGGCTCTCTTGTAGGTCTCCTATGCTGTGTGAAAATAAAAGGTTTATTATACTTGGTATTCCTTATTATGGAGCAGGTCCTGTTGTTGGAAAAGTGGTTCA